ATTCACTTTATTCTAAGTATAAACTTTTATGTTTCTCAATATATCCGTAGTTTTTATTCCACAACAGACATTATTTCCATTATCCTGGTCTTTCCTTGTATTCTTTACGATGGTTTTGGTTATGTTTTTTGTTGCGTACATGAATTCATGCAATAACCAGGATGTGCTCAAAACTTGTGACGAGACAATTTAACCTTTCAGTTAAATGACTGGGATTTGAACCCGCGTTCAGGGATTACCAGCCCATCACACTCATGGGTAACGATGTGACAAAATACAGAGAGAAAGTCTGTATTAACTCACTGAAGGGTCTGGGGTTGAAGCCCATGGCAAGCCGGTCCTAAGACCGCCAGTGGAGTGAGTTGCACGGTGCCCACCTAATACATTTCATCCAACTAGATGTATTTCTTTGAACATAAGCATGGTCCCCGCTGTCCTTACTATCAAGTCTTTTATTCCGGGGACGACCACTTTAGATCACCACCTTCCTGGGAAGACCACCCTAGATCACCACCTCCCTGGGAAGACCACCCTAGATCACCACCTCCCTGGGAAGACCACCCTAGATCACCACCTCCCTGGGAAGACCACCCTAGATCACCACCTCCCTGGGAAGACCACCCTAGATCACCACCTCCCTGGGAAGACCACCTTAGATTACCACCTCCCTGGGAAGACCACCTTAGATCACCACCTCCCTGGGAAGACCACCCTAGATCACCACCTCCCTGGGAAGACCACCCTAGATCACCACCTCCCTGGGAAGACCACCTTAGATTACCACCTCCCTGGGAAGACCACCCTAGATCACCACCTCCCTGGGAAAACCACCCTAGATCACCACCTCCCTGGGAAGACCACCTTAGATTACCACCTCCCTGGGAAGACCACCTTAGATCACCACCTCCCTGGGAAGACCACCCTAGATCACCACCTCCCTGGGAAGACCACCCTAGATCACCACCTCCCTGGGAAGACCACCTTAGATTACCACCTCCCTGGGAAGACCACCTTAGATCACCACCTCCCTGGGAAGACCACCCTAGATCACCACCTCCCTGGGAAGACCACCCTAGATCACCACCTCCCTGGGACGACCACTTTACATTACCACCTCCCTGAGACGACCACCTGACATCACCCCCTCCCTGGTTAGTGTTGAGTGTGTTAAGTCAACATTTAGTAACTTATTAGGGACAAGAGCTAGTCCCAGTAACCGACTGCTGGTCAGGTCAGGTGGTCTCTGCAGAAAACGTGAGAGAGGGGGGTCATAGTGACCCTTCACTGAACTTATAACATTAATGGCATGTACTGTAGCGACAAGTTGCTATATAATACACACGTGCAACACCTGGCTGTCTTCATTACGAAGACACATCACCAACCAGTGGCTCTGTCAATTCAATGCCGGACTTCAAGCTAGGCAACCTTCTAGTCATTCCAAACCTCCTATCCCAATTCCGACCATTGTATTGAAGCTAGTATTATATATTTGTGTACGTATGTGCGTATGTATGTATGCACGTATGTACTTAGGTATATATATATATATATATATATATATATATATATATATATATATATATATATATATGCATTTATGTATGTACGTATATATATGTACGTATGTATGCACGCATGTACGTACGTACATATGTATGAATGTATGTATGCACGTATGTATGTATATATGCCTGCATGCATATATGTATGTATGCATGTATCTATGCTTACACATCCATCAAGCGTGTGTGAGCATGTTAGATATGAGTGAATGGAGACAAGTGGTTTATATGACTTGACGCGCTGTTGGAGTGTGAGCAAAGTAACATTTACGAAGGGATTCAGGGAAAAACCGGTTAGCCGATCTTGAGTCCTGGAGGTGGAAAGTAGAGTGCCTGCACTCTGAAGGAGGGGTGGGGGTGTCACAGTCCTGGAGGTAGGAAGTAGAGTGCCTGCACTCTGAAGGGGCGGTGGGGGATATGTTGCAGTTTTAAACTGTAGCATTGGCGCACCTCTGGCAAGGCAGTGGTGGAGTGAGTGATGGAGAAAGTTTTTCTTCTTTTTCTGGAGTTACCCTGCCTTGAGGAAGTATATCGAGTGTTACAGTGTGATGGTTCATTTATATTAGTGCACTGTATAACTATTTTGGAATCACAGTCAACGCGGTTTATAAATTAATGAACAATGTAAGCGAACTAGCCTTTTTCTTTTTTAATCAGACTACGTTTTGCCCTGATTAGTGTGAAATGTCGTCTGCTAGAAAGGTTGGCTCTCTTATGTACAGTTTATATCTTTAGTCTGCCGGTTCCTCGCCATTCATTGGAGGTGTAATGAATGATAATGGTATAGTAATGAATGCTCGATCCTCCGTCCTGGTAGAAACTACAGAAACTACTACTCTCCCAGCCACACTTCACAGAAGTGCGCTAGACAGCAGAAAGCCAGATGAGAGCGCAGACAGGTGAGCAAGACACCATAAGTCAGGTCATTTCTCTCT